AATAAAATTAGATTTAAATAATTGGAGAAATAGTAATTATTCATGGGTAGGCAGAGCCAATATAATGAAAATGACAATTTTACCTAAACTAATTTATGGAACTGAACACAATTCTCCAGATATAGTGTATTCAGAGAAGAGGATAGGGGGCTGTCACTATCCTTATTACATGTCCCCCACCCCTGCCAGCTCCAGAATATATTTGGATATTTCTCTACAAGGTTGCATTATTCCCAAGATAGGAAAACAGCCGCATAAATCAAATCCATCACTAAGGCAGCTTCCCAAATCTTAGCAGGATGGATCCCACCACCAGGAGGCATCAGAGGATGACTCTGTTGGAGGTAAACACCATAAGACAGTACAAAATTCCCTTTCTAAATATGGCATACTCATAATGGAACCCAACACTTCCAATGGGGTTTGAACAAGACAGAGAGCTTCTTAACTTTCTGGGTATTAGGCTTCTACTAATGGAGCCAATAATACTAATCGCTCTTTTGGCTACCAAGATCACACAATTGATTCACATTGAGCTTATGGTCTATTTTTAAACCCCAGAGCTTTCTTTCACACAAACCGCTGCCTAGCCATGCCACCCAATACGCGTACAGTTGATTTTTTGACCCCAAGAAAAAAACTTTGCATTGTCTCAGTTTAATTTACATTTATCCCAATTAAAATCTGCTGGATTTGGCCTGTTCTTCTAACCCAAGGGTTCTTTATTTGGGGCCCACAGACTGCTCTCCCTCCAAGGAATCCATGGATAGATTTTAGGCATGGGGGATGTCTGTGAATTTATTTTTCTAATATTTTGATAATTGTTTTCCATGTGGTTACTTTTCTTTGTAATCCCATTATTTCATTTTATGTATTTATAAACATCACTCTAAGAAGGGAACCATAGACTTTGCCAGCTCATTAAAGGGCTCTATGACCCACAAAAGCTCAGAACCCCTATCCTAGCCTGTTGAGATCTTCTAACTCCTGCTTGTCACCCAGCATGTTAGCTACCCTCACCATCAGTTGACACAATAGAAAAAGCACTAGATGTGGAGTCAAAGGAGCAACGTTGGAGTTCAGGCTTTTTCGGTTACCACCTGTGTTAACTCCGTGAACCTCAATGTCCTTTGTGGGCTGTAGAATGAAGGCGTTGGGTTCAATGACCTCTAAAGTCCCTTCTACCTCTAAATCTGTGACCCCGAGATCCCGTAATCCTCGCTTTCGTTCAAATCACTGACAAAGAGGCTAAAAGACAAGAGCGAGAATAGAGCCTTGTCTCGGGCAAAGACCGGAATGAAGTGGTACCCCAACTCTGACACTTACTAGACCCACAAACCTGAGTAAACAACTTCACCCACCTGGGCCTCAGCTTTCTCATCTGTTAATAAGAAAAACAATCCCTTTGCTCTTCCTAGCTCCAATTTATACTGTGAGGAGGTGATTCAGAGCAGTAAGATGGCACAGCAGATACAGTGCTGGGCCTAGAGTCAGGAAGACCTGAGTCAGATATGACCTTAGACACTCACCAGCTGTGTGACCTTGGTCAAGTCACTTAACCTCTTTTTGCCTTGGTTTCCTAATCTGTAAAATGGAGATCGTAATAGCACCTACCTCTCAGGGTTGTTGTGAGGATTATATGAGATAATAATTGTAAAATACTTGGCACAGTGCCTGACACATAATGAACACTATGTAATACTAGCTATTATTATTTGTAAACCTTCAAGTGCAATCAAAATAGGCATGGCTGATGACGAGGATGTTGAGGATGATGAAGATGATGAACAGGGCAACACTTGTCTGTGGGGACTGTTTAAACCCTGAATGAAGTGGAAGGTTTGTCTAGAGGAGCAGAGGGAAATAAGATTGGAGAAGTAGGAGAGGAAAAGATTGAAGAGGGCCTCAAATGCCAGGTTAAGGCATTTAGACTTTATCCTGTAAGAAAAGGGGTACATTTGGGGGCAGATAGGTGACACAGTGGATAGAGCACCAGCTCTGGAAGCAGGAAAATCTGAGTTCGAATCCAGCCTCAGACACTTACTAGCTATGTGCAAGTCACTTAACCAATTGCCAGAAAAAAAGAAAAGGGGTGCCTTTGAAAGTTTTTGAGTAGTAACTCCCAAGCCTGACTCTACAATTCTCCATGGATCTCAAGGAATATATTGAAAGACCAGAAAAAAAATTGAAATGAAAACCAATTGTCCAATACTAAATTACTTTTAATTCAGCTTAATTAAATATGTGCAATTACATATCCTATGTTATTTTTCCTTCACTATAACTCAATGTTCTTGTTTAACAGTGAATGAAACCTAATATATAATTACAGTAACTCAGTAAAATATTACATATATATCCAATTAGTTCTTTAGGGTACCTGGTATTCCCACAACCATCTCACTCACTTAGGACTCTCTGGTTTTTTTTACATGCCTTCACACAGATTCATATCTCACGAGACCATCCTATCTGCTGGCAGCCACAGGCCTGTGGATTTGACAGAGGCAGCCTCTTCCAACAGTCTGACTAATCCTGATGACTTCATTTGCCTGTGAATTTTAGCAATCTCTCATGGCGCCCAAGCCTTGTGCTCTTGAAAAGAAGCTCTCAGGGAAAACTCCTCTCAACTTTCCATTCTCTTCTTCATAACTGTGTCAGAGGTCAGAACCGGGAAATGGAGTCTCCAGCTTGCTCGTTTAGTGAAAAGAATTGGCTTGTAGACCACACAGAACATCAGAACTGGAATAGTTCTGAAAACCCAGGACATAGACCATCCAACCTGAAAGGGAGTTTAGGACACGGAATGTCAGGGATGTCAGAGCTGGAAGGGTCCTTGGAATATAGACAATCAGAGTTGGAAAGGACCTTAGAACCTAGAACACTGAATGTTAGCATTGGGAGGAACTTCATTTTACAGATGAGGAAACTGAGGACCAAAGAGATTGAGTCCCTTGATCTCTCTAAGGAGCAAAAAAAAAAAAAAAATGGAGTTCCTTGCCCAGGACCCTGTGGTTCATAATAACTGGTAGAATCATGATTCAAACCCAGGTGTCCTGATGTTTAAAATTTAGTGATATCTACAGTGCCAAGTGTGGAAACAGGGAGAAGGTGATTAGTGAACACAAGCAAGTTACTTAATCTCTCTGAGGTTAAGAGAGGTTAACTGAGATTAAGCCTCAATTTTCTTATCAGGGATAATGCTCTCCATAGTTCCTATCCCACAGGGTGGTTGTCAGGATCAAGTGACATAATTAACCTCTAACAACTTAAAACTGCACTAAGACTTTGGAAATACCCCGTACAGTATTTTAAATGTTTTGTCACCCTTAAAGTGGGAAGGGAACAAGCATTTCTTAAGCACCTACTATGTGCCAGGCACTGTGCTAAGTGCTTTACAATTATTATCTCACTGATCCTCACAACCATCCTGGCTTATAGGTGCTGTTATCATCCCCTTTTTACAGTTGAGGAAACTGAGGCAAACAGAACTTAAGAGACTTGCCTGGGATCACATAGCTAGGAAGTATCTGAGGCTGGATTTGAACTCATGTCTTCCTGGCCCAGCACACTATACATTGTGCCACCCAACTTCTTCAAATGGTATACAAATGTCCACTCGCAGGATTATGGAGCCTGATCGGAGAAGATTTAGGATGCAGACAGGAAGGGTGAAGGAGGCAAAGTTAGTCTTCAGGGAACTGGTTTCCCTTTTCTTTCTCATTCTTCCCTGCCATCATTTCAGGAGCTCCCATCACCGTCACACTCTACTCCTTCCCCTCCCTCCTCCTTCAAAAAAATGGTCAGGGAAAGAGGAAAGAAGGTAGAGAGGAAGGATGGAAATGAAACGAAAGGCAGCCAGCCACAGGTCAATGGGAAAGCCCCTAAGAAGTAATAGTCAGGGCACCTTAGCTTCTACCATTGACTTATTGTGGACTTTGTGAAAACCACTCTCCCCTGCCCCTCTTCCTACCTGTAATATTGGGAGACGAGAGGAGGAGTCACCCAAAACAATCTCCAAACTAACAGTCAGCTCTCAGATTCTAAGCTTTTTGTTCGAAGGTCCCTTCCATCTCTAAGATTCTGTAATCCATATTCTAAGATTCCCCTCACCCCACCCATCTCTAGCACTCTGTGCTCTAAGGTCTAGCTCCAATATTCAATATTCTGTGTTCTAAGATCTCCCTAGCTCTAGCACTCTGTGCTCTAACATCCAGCTCCAACATTCAGTGTTCTATGTCCTAAGATTTCCCCCTAGATCTAGTATTCTACGTTCTAAGGTCCAGATCTAATAGTCAATGTTCTACGTTCTAAGATCCCTCTAGCATTCTGTGTTCTGTGGTCCAACTCTGATAGTCTGTGTTCTATGTTCCAAGATTCCCCCCCTAACTTAACCATTCTATTTTTGGAGGTGTGAGAGTTGACACTTTAAAGCAACAAACAGAAAGGGGACTACATTAATGTCACAGATGAGCTCCTGGGACAAGAAAGGCCAATATTATTTCTAGCCCAGAGACTCTGTAAGTGATGACTGAGTGGAGCCCTGCCCCCTACTCCAATCCCCCCACCCCTTCTCCCCGAGGAGCCAGCCAGGGTGACATTTCCCCCATGCCCTGTGACTAATTTAGGCAAAGGGAAGCTATTTCTAACCAGAGAAGGGACTGAGGAACAGGTGCGGCTGCCACAAGACACTCCCCAGCCCCCAGAAATGGCCCTGCCCTCCCGATTGGTCGGGAGCGGAAGGGGAGCCCCCCTTATCTCCTCCTCCCAGGGGGCCAAGTTGAAATTCCTGGAGCTATAAAGTCAGGCTGGGTTTTCTCAATGGAGTAGTAAGGGGGGGCCACAGAGCAGCCGAGGAGAAGGAGAGAAGGCCAAGGGGGAGCCTAAAACCGAACCAGGGTGGTGCTTTTACCCTGAGAATCTTTTCTTTTGTTCGGATCACCTCCCACTCCCCAGTCCTTGGCACCACCCCAGCCCATCTCTGCCACCACTCCCCACCCACAGAGGGAACAGAAGATGAAGTACATCATTGGCATTGGAGGGTGAGTTTGGCCAAAACCTGGGTTTTCCTCCTCAGGCATGCTCTGCCTTCATGCTGTCAAGGCAATGGCTTAGTGAAATTCTTGGGGTGGGGGGCGAAGAGGGAAGGAGAAAAGGAGAGAATGTTGGTAAGGTGTTTGGACCGGCGAGGGCAGAACGATCCACCTGGCTTAGGAGGCCTGGGTTTTGAGTTCTGGCTCTGCCTTTTGCTAAGTGCCGGCCTTAAACAAATCCCTTTCACTCTCTGGGCCTTGTTTTTTCTCATCTGTAAAATGAAAGGGTTGAGCTCAAATCATAGATGGAGAACTAGAGAGGAGCCCAGAGATAATCTGGTCTACCCCCCTCGGTTAGAAGGTTTCCTTAGAAGGGAAGTGACTCTCCCAAGGTCACACAGGGAGTAAGTGGCAAAGGCAGGATTCAAACCCAGCTTCCTCTGACTTCAGATCTGGCATTCTTTCCACTGAGCCCCACCCCCTCCAATGCCTCTAACCTCCAAAGCTATCTAAGGCTCCTTCCAGCTCTAAAATTCAATTATCTTAAAAGCTATGTGTCTTTGGATTAATTACTTTACTTCTCTGAGACTCGATTTCATCATCTACTTTAAGAGGATGATAGTATCTATATTACTGACTTCATAAGGACACAGGAATGTGCTTGAAAAAGCTTACAATGTTATAGAAATGTGAGCTGGAATTAAGGCTACCGGTCAAAATGATGCCAGAGCTGTCCATCAGGACCCTACAGAGAGATTTCATTGTACTTTATTCATCCCATTATGGAGGATATGTCAGAGTTGTTGTTTGAGGGATTTTCCCCCCACAAGTGAGGCTACCATGGCTCTGTGATAGGCACTCTGGAGTCTAGATAATTACTGAGATTAGGGGGTCTCTGGAGAGAATAGGTAAGAATAGGAGGGAGGGTCCTGTGGGATCAGAAGAGCTATTTGGGAGGAAAGAAGAAAGGGTAGGAGGTGGGGTGGGGGCCCAGCTGAGGGACTGGAGGGGCTGCGCTGGGAAGAATAGGAAAGATAACAGGTGGGGAAGGCGGGGATGCCCAGGGACAAGGAAGGACAGATGGGGTGGGGCGGCCACCAGATGGAACCACTCCCTGAGATGGGGTTAAAGGAGGTTTCCCTTTGTCCTTTGTGGGGCATAGGATTCAGCGCAGGGATTTAGGGACAGGGGATGTTTTCCCAGCAGGAAGACAAGAAGCCGTTAGATGGGTAAAGAAGGAAGGAAGGGTGCTAAAGGGAAAAGGTCCATCTGTCTGCCCACCCCCATCCCAGAAGAGGAATCTTTTCTCAGTGAGCCTTACTGGGGCTTGTTCCATCTGGATTTAGGAAAATCAAGATGGAGTGTCCTGAAATCCTGAAGCCAAGAAAAGAGGAGAGAGAGGTGGGCAGAAGTGGGAGAAGGGTGGGGTGAGACTTTGGCACAGCTGAATGAATGGACTATTGAGATGCTAAATCTATCCCCCCTCCCCAATCCTCTATGAAGCTCCCCAGGACAATCTGAAGATTTTCTGTCCAGGACATCACCAACTAACCTGTGTCACCCCAGTCAGTGTGCTAGAACTAGGGAGGGAAGGGAGGTAGCCTTAATTTTTTATTGCAGAATTCTAGAAGCTCAGAAAAGGAGGGGGGAAGGGTGCTCAGAGGCAAGCGAGGTAGCTCAAGACCTGAATTCAAATCCTGCCTCAGATACTCTAGCTGTGTGACCTTGGGCATGTCTCTTAACCTCCCTCAGCCTCAGTTTCCTCATCTGTAAAACAGAGATAATAGTAACACTTACCTCCCAGGATTATTGTGAGGATCAAATGAGATAATATTCTAGAACACTTTTATGCAGTGCCCGGCACATAGTAGGCACTTCATAAATGCTTGTTTCCTCCTTTCCTTGTTGTCCATACTTGAAAAAATTCTAGTAAGGTGGAAAGAGCCCTGGCTCTGGAGTCAGAAGATCTGACTGGGTCTGACATGTTTTGTGTGACCTTGGGCAAATCACCTAACTTTCCTGGGCCTCATTTGTAAAATGGTAGATGGCTTTTGAGGGCCTTTCCGGCTCTAATTCTGGGATCCTATCACCTCTATGCATCTACAATATTCAATTAGCATTATTATTATTATTATCATTATTATTATTATATGGGGGCAGCTAGATGGCACAGAATAGCACTGAGACTAGAGTCAGGAAGACCTGAGTTCAAATCCAGCCCTGGAATTATGGGACCTGAGTTTAAAATCTATCTGTTCCACTTGCTACCCAGGTGACCATGAGCAAATCATTTCAATTCCCTGGGCTTCATTTTCCTCATCCATAAAATGAGGAGTCTGGCATAGATGATCTCTAAGGTCCCTTCCTACTCGAGCTCTTAGATCCCATGAAATCCTTTCTGGAAAAAAAAGGCCTGCATTGAAAAAAACAAGAGAGAGAGAAGTAAGTGAAAACGCAGTTGGGTTTATATCTTTACGACCATCTTTTCCATCCAGTTTGTATAACAGAATTGAAAACTGATTTTTTTCAAGTGGAGATGTTGTTCTGAACATGTAAAGCCTTTAGCTTTTCTTAAACACTTGGCTCTGAAAAGGTGGCATTCTGTTGTGTTAGCTAGCCTTTCATTTTCCTTTCTGTTTTTTTATTAAACTTAATATAAACTTCGTTTATTAGACTTCATTGGTCTAATGAGGTTCCACGAGACAAATGTAGATTTTTTTTTTTTTACCAATGCAGATTGGCACCTGAGCTGCAGTTTGTAGCCTTTTATAGTTGCTTGAAGCGGAAGTGGGGTGGAGAGATATTAAAAAGTTAGATGACTTACTCAGGGTTACATAGCCAGCAGGTGTCTCTACCTAGCACTATAAGCCCCCTCATTTATTTTCTTTTTAATCTCATCATATTCTTGCATCAACATGTCCTCTCCCCTTCCTGAAGTCCCAGGCTGAACTCCTGTTGAACACCACGCAGCATGATTTTGAAAGAGAACACATCCTAAATTGAATGCACCACATGGCCATAAAGCTTTAGTAAAGGAAAACAAGAGGGAAATAAGCTACTTGAGGGTGGGACCATTCCATTTCTATCAGTTTATCCTCAATGACTGACATATAGTAGGAGCTTAATAGACCTTGAATGGATGAATGAAAGACTATAATCAGGGGCTGTAGTGAATGGTCACTTCCTGGAAAGAAGCTGATGCCTATGACTGTCATCCAAGGGTAAATTATACCAGGTGTCCTAAAAGTCTTGGTGCAGTCTGAAGCCACCTTAAGCTATTCAAGCTTAAGATTTGGGGTGCCCTATATGCTATGATTATCTGATTTTAGTCTCCTTTTCCTAGCATGACCAATGGAGGAAAAACCACACTGACCAATAGACTCATGAAAACATTACCAAACTGCTGTGTGATCCACCAGGATGACTTTTACAAGGTAATCATCTCAAGCCCAGACAGGGTCACCGTGTCACTGAAAGAAAGTACATCCCTTAGCCCAGGAGAATAGGAGAGCTTCTCTGGCCAGTACAGAAGAAGGGAGTGCAGGGGACCTCAGTTATTTGCAGTCATGTTAGAGTGTTCCAGCCTAGAACACTATCAATATTCCAATCCAGAACGGCATCAATGTTCCAGTCTACAGCAATGTCAATGTTCCATCCTAGAACATCATTAGCATTAGTAATAACAATAATAATAATAATAGCAAGCATTATACAGCCCTTTAAGGTTTGTGGACTACTTTGCATATGTTATTTCATTTGCCATCTTGTTAGTGTTCCAGATGAGAAGAATGTTAGTTTCCTGCTTAGGATAAAGTTGACAATAATGCACTAGTCTAGAATAATGTCAGTGTTCATATGCTAGTCTAGAACTGTGTTCCAGTCCAGAACCCAGATGCTCTAACTCCAAATCCAACACTTTTCTCATCATCCGTTGCAACCCGACACCTGAACAGCAACCTCCTCTATAACACTTATAGTATGGGGGTTAGATTATAGCCTAGGCTAGAGTCAAGCTGACAGGCCTATCTGATGGCAGCTTCTCATCTGTAGCTACTCCAAGCAGTCTGGGACTTTAATGTAAGTTAGGTCTTGAGAATGATATCTGGCTCCCTCCCTCCTTCACTATCCTAAGTCACATCCTACCCTATCCCCCTGACTTCTCACACACACACACACACACACACACACACACACACACACTTCTCAGCCCATCTCAAGACAGGCTTTAGGAAGGAGAAACAGAGAGAGGAGAAAGAGGAAGGTCATGGAAGAGGGTCAGAGAACTACAAAGGGGAAGGAGCAGTAGATCTCCTATGGTCGTAGTTCTTGTCATCTGTGGCTATGAGCACCTTTAGCATCTTACTTCATACCACACACACATACACACATACACACACACACACACACACACACACACACACACACACATGGCTTTTTGTAGAGCACTCAGCATCAGAAGACCTCTTTTTTCTTGAGGGCTGGGGAGGAGAGTAGGGATACGTGGCAATTGTGAACAAAATACTATTCAGTCATAACTCCCCTTGAAGTTAACATTCTGCCCAAAAGGGGTAGACACCCCCTTACACAGACCTTGCCCACCTTCAAAAAAAACACCAAGCCATTCTTACCTCTGAAGTGACCTCTCTTACTGCTTACACACACACACACACACTTCACCTAAGGGCCTAGTTATACCTATGCAGAGAAAGGAGACTGTGCTCAGGCTTAACCACCTTCTCCAAAGGGCCTCAGGGCATCCTGAATTCCCGTGATTCCTAGCTTTACCGCTTCCACTAAGCAATGACAGAGTGTCAGAGGAACAAGTCCTGGGCCCCAAGCTCAGATGCCTAGGCATTAAACCCAAGAGTCCCAATGTCCTCCCAGCCCCTCACAAGTCTTTGATCCTACCCATGAGCCTGCCCTGCCCCAGATGCCAAGGGTCTAATGACTTACCATCATCAGAGTTCTTTGCCCTTCAATTGCTGCCTGGCTGACTCTTCACAAACCCTACTGTTTCTCCTCCTATTTTAGGGAGATAGAAGTGGGCTGGCCTGATACATGGATAAAATAGGCAAACGCCCATAGGTGCAACCCTCAGGAGTATCTATCTTCTTCTCCCTTCTCCCCCACCCCCCCAAAAAAAGCCTCTTTATATAATGTCTGGTGCCTGAAAAAATTCCGCTAGTCAGTGCTTTAGCTTCCCTGAAGTCCTATTGCCTTCAACAGTTTTGTCAAGGGACTGTCTGATGACAGTCAGAGTAGCAGTGTAGTGATGGAAAGAGAACAGCCCTGGAGCTGAAGGACCTGGGTTCAGAGTCCAGCTGCTGTAACTTTTACTAGCTGTGTGACCAGAGAGAAATCCTTTGCCCCCTCTGGTCACCAGTTGTTCTTCACTGTAAAATGCGGGGATTGCCCGATAGAGTGTAAGCTCCTTGAGGGGCAGGATTATCTCATAGTTGAGTTTGTGTGCCCAGGGCCCAAAATTCTCAGCACACAGTGGGTGTTTAATAAATGTTCATTATTTAAAAATACAAGGGGGTTGGACTAGGTGCTCTTTCAAATCCCTTCCGGCTCTAAGTCCGATAATATGGTGGTCATCCTGAGATTTTTAGGGGACTGATAATTCTGAGTTTGCAGCAATGTTTTATTGCTCACTATATTTCAGCCACAAGATCAAATAGAAGTCGGGGAAGACGGCTTTAAGCAATGGGACGGTAAGGACAGTGTCTGCTCTAGGAAGTGTATCTTTTTTTTTTCTGTCTTTTTTAATGTGTAGAAATGTTTCTAGCTAATGGTACACATTCTACATTTCTGTGTGCCCGTGCCTCCAATGGCCTCCGCTTATATCCGCCGTTTTTTGCCTTCCCAGTGTTGGAGTCTTTGGACATGGAGGCCATGCTGAACACGGTCCTCGCGTGGCTGAACAACCGCATGAAGTTTGCCCACACCCATGGGGTCAACGTCCAACCCAACTCCCAGGAGTCTGGCTCCGATGACACCCACATCCTCATACTGGAAGGTTTCCTGCTCTACAGTTACAAGTAAGAGACAAGGGCCATTCTCAGAATGCATTGTCTTTCCATCCTTCTTGACCAAGGTCTTTCCATTTCCCAAGTCATGCCACAAGGACCTAGAACTCCCTCCAACACTCTAGCTCAGATCATGATCCATCAACACCTTAGACAATACTCAAGAACTGTTGGGACCTCCCAGAACCAACGCCTGATGGCCCGTCTTCAAGTGGGGTAATGAGCACTCTACCCTTGGCTCAGCTAGGCTGGTACTCAGACAACAGGCGTTCAGGTTGCTGCTGGCCCCTACTCAAAGTCATTCCAGTTTGGTAGGAACCACCAGACTTTCACTGGCATAGCCTTGAGAACCCCCATTTATCTGCACATGGGGGTATAATGATAAATGTTTATTAACTGCTGCTCTAAAAAAAACGTACACACAACGTAACTCTTAGTTTATTTTTCTCCTTCACTTTCTTAAGTCTTGACCATCAGCAAAACAACAAATCAAGCCCAAATTTGTAGAATTTGTTAGTTTCTTTTTTAAGTTTTTTAATTAATTTTTTTTTGAATTTGTTAGTTTCTGAGGTCCAAATGCTCATCCTGAAAATTTAACAATCAGCTCTCTGAGTCACAGTTCAAGCAGACTCCAGCACACCCTTGTCTGTAATGAAGAGGATGTGAGTGGAGCTGGAGGCCATGTGGTACAGGGAAAAGAGTACTTGATGTGGAATGAGAGGACCTGGGTTCAAATTTCACACCCTATCTGTGTGATCTTAGGCAAATTACCTAAGCTCTCTGGGCCTCAGTCCCTTTCTTGTAAAATGAGGAGATTGGACTTGATGACCTCCCTTCCAGCTGTGACTATATGATCTGATGATGATGAAAATATTGTATTATTATATTATCTTGTTAGTGTCACATTAAGAGTAGAACTTAAATGATTCTCTGTTCAACGAGGTAACATAGTACAGTGTAAAGTCAGAAGACCTGGGTTCAAATATCGCTTCTAAGGCTTGCTACTTGTGTGACCTTGGGCAAGTCCCTTAATATCCCTGGGCCCTTAGCTCCTTCTTCTGTAGAATGAGGATTTTACACTCAATGGCCTCTCTGTTCCCTTCGAGCTCTACATCTGTGGTCCTGTCATCCTAGGGTCTCCTTTGATGCCTCTTCCTAGCATGGAGGTAACCCTGGGTTCAGGGAAGTTACGCCAGTAGAGGCCCAGACACTGCAGGGCCTTGTCTTGCTGTTCAGTAGTGTCTGACTCTTCGTGGTCAAAGCTACTGGAGTGGTTTGCCTTTTCCTTCTCCAGATCATTTTACAGATGAGGAAACTGAGGCAAACAGGGTGAAGTGACTTGCCCGGGGGGTCACACAGCTAGTAAATGTCTGTGGCCACATTTGAACTCAGGTCTTCCTGATTCCAGGCCCAGGGCTCTATACACTGCACCACCTAGCTGCCTACTACAGGGCCTACCAAGCTAGAAAGGTTGGGACCCTAGGCTGGTGATGGGCTGCTGTCTGAGGCCCAGCCTTGCTAAGTGGGGAGAGACCCATCAACCCAGAAAATTATCTGTTGAGACAGGGATGATGATGATGAGGATGCCATGAAGTACTAGCCCATAAAACCTTGACTAACCAGCAGCACCCTCATACCACCACAATGTCCACTTCAAAAGAACAAAAAACGAGCAGCTGGGTGGTGTAGTAGATAGAGCACCGGCCCTGGAGTCAGGAGGACCTGAGTTTAAATCCGACGTCAGACACGTGACACTTAACTAGCTGTGTGACCCTGGGCAAGACAGTCAACCCCACGGCCTATCCTAAAAAAAAAAAAAATAAAAGAACAAAAAACGATTCAACTTATTTTTTGAAAACTAAATCACTCATCTCAACAACTCCCAGGAGATGCCTGACATAATATGGATCTGAGCCCAATCCTTTCTTCCCGGGGAGGTCTCAAACTCTGATTGAAGAGGAACCTGTGAACTTAATTAAGCAAGACCCCTTCCCTCTCTGGGCCTGCATTTCCTCATCTATAAAACAAGGGGTTTGGACTTGTTATTACATCTGAGGGTCTCTTTCCATCTTTCTCTCTTTCCGTCTCTGACATTCTATGAATTTATTTCCCATTTCTCCAAAACCTAGAGAGGAATGCCTCAGGGGGGTGAACTGATGCTGTCAGTAAAATCCCAGGGTCATTTGGAGTAGGGGAACCACTGGAGGTTATGCTCCCTCCCTCCTGGGGATCCCCAACCGATCAAGGGGGAGGGAACTAGTGGTGGCCACCTGCTTGAAGCTCTTTCAGGAAAGACTTCAAGACTTGCTGGTAGGGTCAGCTGGGTTGCCCAGTGAATAGAGGACCAGCCCTGGAGTCAGGAGTTTAAATCCAGCCTCAGACACTTACTAACTGAAAGACCTTGGGCAAGTCACTTAACCACCACTTCCCCCACTGCCTCAAAAAAAAAAAAACTTGTTGGTAGATTCCAATTATCTTCCAGGGATCCCTGACCTGTACCTATAACCTCACAACTACTATGAAGGTTCAGAATAATAAGACACCCTTTGATACCTTCAAAGACAACTTGGCCATGTTCACTGTACCATCCTTTGCAAAAGAGAAAAGTAAATTGTTTCTGAGCAATTGTAAAAAAAAAAAAAAAAATGAGGTTCTCAATTAGCCCTCGGTCAACCAGAAATTTCAGTTACAAGGGACATCTGATTCCCCAAACACGCTCATTCAAGTTTTGTGAGGCTGCACCTTGAGTCTGAATTTGAATTTTTTAAAGGGCTTTGGACGCTGTCACTGAAAGTTCACAATGTGTGAAGTAGGCAGGCCCAAAGCTATTATAAAGATGAGAAACTGAGACTCAAAGAAGTTAATCAATGTACCAAAAGTCACCCAGGAAGTCAGTGGCAGAACCCAATTGCTCCAATGCTTGAATGGATGCCATCATCTCATCAAGGTGTCTACTCTCCTCCATAAGGCAGATCCAGTCTGTCTCCAAATCTTCTCATCCTGTCTGACCCTTGCCCACCTCCTCCCACAGATCCTCTGTAGAGAATTTATTCAATTTGCTAGAGGCCTTCCTTTGGTGGCTTTTTGGATTGTTTTTTTAAATGTTTTGTTAGATATCCAGTAACTAAACGTATATACATATATGATTGCCTTAGATTAAAAATTATTTTTTTTATTTCCTTATTGGCTCATTTGGCTTAAATAAAAATGGTTCCTTTTGGTAAATGATGTATCACTTAGATATTTTCTCCTGGGAGAGGGAATCCTCGCCCTCACCGTAAGACTCATGTTCTAAGCTGTTCTAAGCCCATCACTGAGATGGGCAGCACTGAACTACTCACACTCCTTCAACCACATCCCGTCACAATCACTGGCACAGGGTAGGGGTTGGAGGTGCAGAAAAGAGCCAGTTCTCCCACTGGAAGCTCTAGCCGGTGTCCTCAGCCTCATCAGCACCAAGCTCTGGCCACTAAAAATACTGGCCTAAACACCCCAAATCTTAAGTGGGCAACAAAATTTCCAGCCTGTCAAACCCAGCCAGGGATTCAGAGGCAACACAATGCAGATCCCAATCTTGGATCTGAAGTCTAGGGTCAAAGCATGACTCTGAGATGAGTGAGTCTACACAAGTCATTCAACCTTTAAGAGCTTCCTTTTCTCCATATGTCAAATAGAGATCATACCTGTTGCACCTTTTTCAGAGTTGTTGCCAGGATTAATTGAAATAATGTACGCAAAGCACTTTATAAACTTAAAGGTGTTTTATAAAGACCTAGTAGTGGCCAGGTCTTTATATTGTCAGCCCAAATCCCAATCCCCCAGAATGCCCGAGGGTTGGTGAAAGGCAAACTATCTTTGCAGTGATGGGCAATCATCATTAGAAACACTAACCATCCATCTTTCTGCCTCCCCTGCTGCCCAGGCCCTTGTTGGATTTGTACAGTCGCCGTTACTTTTTGGCCATCCCATATGAGGAATGCAAGAGGAGGAGAAGGTAAACTGAGACCCCAGGCATTGGGCCAGTGAACAAACCTTGCCCGATGCCTCCAACAGTCACCTGGGGAACTTAGGCACCTGGGGATAGAGGGGTTGGGAGTAATGCAATCAGTTTACAGCTGTCTTCAAGTATCTGAAAGACTATAGTAGGGAAGATTAGGCTTGTTCTGCCAGGTGCGAAAAGACAGAACTAGGATTGATGGCGAGAAGTCGCAGAGACGTGTATTTGGGCTTGATATAAGGGAAAACCGCCTCAGTTAGAATTAGAATTGTCCAAAAGTGAAATGGGCTTCCTGATAAGGTAATGAGTTCCCCATCTCTTGAGGTCTTCAAGTGGTGGTTGAATGGGCATCTGTCAAGGATATTGTAGGAGGATTCTGACTCCAGAGAAGGTTGATTCTTTGATCCTATCCAAGCCAATCATGTGTACATGTGTGGAGGTGCTGTGGACAAGGCCCTGTGATCCATTTACCCATACGTGTTGGGCACAGAGCAGCCAAGATGCTCACAATCTAACAGGTGAGATAAGACGCAACCAACTGATATAACCATCTTCCCACAGTGGAGGGGCAAAGGAGCACAGAGAGAAGGAGTTCAGGGCAAAAGATATGGCAAGCTTCTTCTTGTCTTGCCCCAAGACATGAGACACACCTCCCCCATCCCATGTTTTCTATGGTCAGAACCCCATGCAGTGGCCAAAGAGAAATTGAAAACAGAAAGTATGGCCAAGGACTTGTTGGTTGAGATGAAGTGTCTCTAGAGGTCTCTGGGTCAAAATGCTATGCCCCATTATGGCACAATTCTTGAACCTCAACCCAGGATTGACCTCTGTTGCCTGGAGACTAAGAGAGGAAAACACTGAGCAAGGGCAAATTCCCACCCACCTGACACTTTAGGGAATATGTGGAAAGGGAGCAAGGATTGGGAGGGAGAGGGGGAGGGTCCAAGGCCCACAGTGACAGCTGTGCTGCGAAAAAGATAAGAGTCTTGGCCTCATAGTCACAGGATCTCAGCATTGGAAGGGACTTCAGAAGTCATGAGATCTGGTTTAAAGATAGAAAGAACCTTATGAGATATCTACTCCAACCCCCCTCATTTTACAGATAAGGAAAATGAAGCCCAGAGAGATTAGGTGAATTGCCTAAAGTCATATGGACAGTAGGTAGCAGAGCCAAGATCTGAATTCTGGTCCTCTGACACCAAATCCAGTATGCTTTCCATCGTCTTATCCAACCCAACCCTTCTCTCTATAACATCCCCTAGGAGTCATTCAGATTCAAGAGCCTTCATTTCAGATCACAGCTCTCTATCACTTACTAGGTGTGTCACATCCCTTAACCGCTCTAGGCCTCACTTTTCCCATCTTGATAATACTCACATACCCTACCATCACTCATTGTTGTCAGGAAAACATTTTGTAAACCAAGCCTTCTGAGACCCAGGCAAGGGCTCATTCTGTCATCACCTCTAGGGCCCCTCTCAGTGTTCATCACCCCATGCAGGAGGGATTTGGGTACCACAACCTCACTCTCCATCTCATTCCTCTCTATAGTACCCGCAACTATAAGGTCCCTGACCCTCCAGGTCTCTTTGATGGCCACGTTTGGCCCATGTACCTGAAATACAGGCAGGAGATGGACAACAATGGTGTGGATGTAGGTGAGTAACACTCCTAAACCTCAGGAGCATTCTTTGTTTTGTCAAAGACTTTAGAACTGGAAGAAACCTTAAAGTTCAATTAGCCCAATTCCTTTAGATGTAGAAACTAAGACCTAGATTGGGGATAGGATCTGCCCCAAGATCACACATGCACTAAGTGGCAAAGCTGGCCTAGGTTTCTTGATGTGAAGGGCCAAATCATCTTTGAACTCGAAGTCAAGTGGGCTTTGGTGAATATAAGTAATGCATATCTTTACTACTCCTGGTTTGGACAAAGTCCAGCCCCCAAGCATAACTCTCTAAAACCTGAGAGCTCAAAGGGCCTTGAGGTCATTAGGTCAAGCCCCGCCTCCTCCAAACCTCCAGGCAACCTGTCCCCATCATCCAAAAGGTGATTTAAGGATTTCCATGAACAGAGCCTCCAGCACTGTTACTGGTAAAGCCAATGCATCGCCATCCTCCATAAATTCCTTTCCACGTCACATTAAAGCCCACCTTTTCCAGGAATAGCTACCAACCTGTCCTCTCAAACTCATGCCAAGGATGTTGTCTCTCAATCCAGCAACCTGCTTCATCATAGGCTTAGAGCTGGAAGAGACCTTAGAAGTCATGGAACCCAACCTCCTCATTTTACAAATGAGGGAACTAAGGAGTTGTGACCTGCCTAGAGTCCTGAGGCTAGTGAGTATCTGAAGTGAAATATGAACCCAGGACTTCTTGACTCCAAATCCAGAATCCTATCCACTAAAGCCTGCTACCTTAATATACCTAGTAGATCTGGAGAGCCTTTCCCTGTAAGGGACTAAGTTTAAAATCAACACAATGATTAGCCTTGATTCTGAGGCACCAGTGATAAAGAACACTGCCCACAATTGACAGAGAAGGGCTGGACTCAGGGTGAAGAATGAGACACACATTTTTGTTCATGACTAATAAAGGAATTTGCTTTGCTTGACTGCCCTTAATTGTTCCAAGAGTTTTGTTTTTCTTTCCCCCCACCCAAGTTGGGGAGGAAGAAGTAGCAGGGAGAAAAAGAATGTTTGATAGTTGGAAAAAAATTAATTTTAAAAAATAAGATTCAGAGGTAGAAAAGATATTAAAAATCACAGAATCCAGCACCTACATTTTATATTTGGATTTTACGAGATTCAGAGAGAATAAGGGATTTTTCCCAAGGTCACAGAGTTAATAATTGGCAGAGTCTAAATTCAAACTCGGGCCTTCTGGTTCCAAATCCAGCGTCTTTTCTATAATACTGTTTCCCTGAGGTCCCATGCTCAAAACTGTTTCTTTCTGATTCTAGTGCATCTGGACGGGCTGAAATCCAGAGATGAGCTTTGCCATCAAGTCCTAGAAGACATCCAGAATACACTCTTAAACTGCTCTTAGTTTCTGGGAAGAGGGTGAGAAAGGAGGCCAGACCTGCCCCTCACTGGTTTGGCAGATCTTAATTGTGCCAAAGGAACAACACACTGAACCAAGACCATAGGACTGTCCAGGCCCTGGAGAGAGGCCCCCTCAGCCCCTGGGAGACAAGCCTGATCTGAGACTACCTGGGAATCTCCTTCTGGAGAAGGATGGACAAAGCGAATAAGCAATTGTTTCTTTCCTTGGCTCAGCTGAAGAAAGGGCAATGCCTGTCAGGGTCTCAGAGATGGAAAGGGTTTAAAGATCTCTTTTGTGATGGCCACAATTCACTTAAGCATTAAATACACATACCTTTTTTCTATCTTTTGGTGCCAGTTCCATTTGATAGACCTTGATCAAGTGCCTCCAGTGTGCTGGGAGGCCATGTACACCCACCGTCTCTGAATTCAGACTCACAGGATCGTAGAATGTCAAAGGGCATCCAGTTCAACCCTTGTCTAAAGCATGAATCTGCTCTCACTCCCCACCCCCCAGCCATAGAATGCAGGTAACCACCCACTATCAGAGCTGAAAGGGCCTTTGGACCTAAGGTACACCTGCCGGGGCAATGCAGTCCACTGTTGGATGGCTGATTGTTAAGAAACTCTAATTTGTGTGGGGATGAAATTGGCCTCCCCATAGGATTATTTTAATGACCTTGTGGCTCCCCCCAGAGCAATCCCCTCATATTGGTGCTGGTTCTTCCCTTTATGACCAAGCAGGAAAATCAGTTTCCTTATCCCTCTACAAACCCTGAGGTGTCCCAAGGCTTACGTAGAAGCCCTTTCCGCTCCTCGAGTTTGTGAGGTAGGCAATGCAAATATTTTTATCCCCGTTTTACCCACAAGGCAATTCAGAGAGGTAAAATGCCTCACTAATGATCACGTAGCTAGTAATAAAAATAAGCTGACTTTTATATTGTACTTAAAGTACTATAAAGTCAAGTGAGAAGTAGCTAGGTGGCACGTTGAATAGAGCACTGGACCTGAAGTCAAGAAGATATGAATTCAAATCTAGCCACAAACATTTACTAGCTATGTGATCCTGAGCAAGTCACTTAAATTCCATTTCCTCATCTGTAAAATCAAATAATAATTTCAGTCATTTCCAACTCTTTGTGACCCCATCTGTTTTTTTTTTTTCTCTTTTTTGGCAGAGATACTAGAGTTGTTTGCCATCTCCTTCTCCAGCTTATTTTATAGATGAGGAAACTGAGTTAAATGACTTGCCCAAGGTCACTGATTAGTGTCTGAGTCTAGATTTGAACCCAGGAAGATTCATCCTCCAGACCCAGAGCTCTATCTACTATGCCACCTAGTTGCCATCAAGTTTATTTGATCTTTTTTACATATGAGAAAACTGGGGCTTAGAAGTTAAGTGACTTTCTCAAAGTCACACAACTAGCAAGGAATGGTATCTGGACTTGAATCCAAGTGTCCTGAATACTATGAATCCAGTGCTCTTTCCACTGGGCTGACCTTGACCTGTCCTGTCCCAGTAAATCCAGAAATCCCAGTGAGAACAAAAATGCCACCTCCCCAAGATGGAAGAAGGGGAGAATCCAAGTGACCTCTTCTTAATAACATTCTCCACCTGACCCTTCCTCACCATCTTCTGTCCATTCAGACTGCTCCACAGTAGGGACAGTGGTGATGACCCTTAGGAATCAGACAGTCTAGAATTCTTGGGAACCTGGAAGCTACTTTGCAGGACCTGGGGCCTAAGAGCACACAGGTACCCTGGACAGCACTAACTTGACCGGACTTTGCCTAGGGTTAAATGAAAGGCTAAGAAAGAAAACCAGGCCCTGAAAGCCCAGGTCAAGATTAACTTGTTTATAAGAAAAGATGGAAGAACATAATCTACAAGTGCCCCCCTAGAGTAGGTTTTGGTACTCAAATAGAACCAAGAACTTGTCTATGATAATGCCTTGTGTTCATAGCCAACCTGCTTATGGGGTAAAGAAACAAACCAGGGAGCCTGGAAGACATCATACAGTCAGATGAACCGAGAGCCAGGCCTAAGCGGCCTTGTGAGTGACAGCACTGTTCATGAAATAGCAGAAAAAGTAGTGGAATTGGAACCAGGGATCAGTCAGTCAGTACACATTTATTAAGTGCCTACTATGTGCCAGGCACTGTTTGAAGCACTAAGGATACCAAAAAAAAAAAAAAAAAAGGCAAAAGACAATCCCTGCTCTAATCCATTGCCAAGGTTTGTTTGGTGATTTCACCTTTGCAGCATCTCTTTGAATACATCCCCCTTCTCTCCTCTGACACTGCCACCATTCTGGTACATGTCTTCATCACTTCACGCCTGGACTATTACAATAGTCTGTTGTGGGGTTTGCCTGCCTCAAGGCTTCCCCAACTCCAGTCCATCCTCTATTCAGCTGCTAAAGTGAATTTCCTAAAGTGCAGGTCTGACCATGTCACACACACACACACACACACACACACACACACACACACACACACTCACTCAATAAACTAGAGTGGCTTCCTTCCTATTACCTCCAGGATCAAATACAAAATCATCTGTTTGGTGTCCAAAGTCCTTCATAACCTAACCCTACACTACCACGCACTCCCTTCTGCTAGGAGAAAACTGGGGGATCAAGGGATTGGAGGTCATGGTGTGGACAAAGAATAGGGCTTGGTAAGGGAAAGCCGAGGGAGAGATGGAAAGTCAATAGATTATGGTCAGAGAAGGGGAATCAGGAATTCTCAAACATGGAGATGGTGTATTTGAGGGTGATGGCAAGATCTAGGGTATATCACCTAGGTATGCACCAATCTACCATAACACTAGTAAACATCCCCCTGTTTACCCATAAGGAGCTCACTGTGCCTTATGCCCAGGCCTTACCCTGAAGGTGGAGGACCCCCCCAATCCCCAAACCCCACCAGGACCACAGAATCACAACCTTACAGAGTTGGAAAGTACCTTGGCAGTCATCTTGACCATTACATGCACATAAAAGAATCCCCACTACACCATATCTAAGCAATCATCCAGGATTTGCTTTAAGACCTCCATGGAGGAGAAAGCCTCAACCTCCTGAGACAGCTCATTCCACTATGGCGTAGTTCTAATTGTTAAGTTTTGTTGGGTTTTTTTTTATACCAAACTTAAATGCTTTTTCTTTTTTTTTCTTTCTTTTTTTTTTTTTTCAACTCCTCCCCTCCCCAAGTGCTCAAAGTTCTGCTGTCTGGAGCCAAACAGAACAGATCTAATCTCTCTCCCACTATAAATCTTTGAATTATATCAAGTACTTTAAAACTGTAAGCTGTATGAGGCCAGAGTGATCATGCCCTGCCCCCACACCACAGCTTTCTCTTTTCTAGGTTAAACATCCCAAGGAACATTGTTTCCTTCAATCAATCATGGAATGGTATGATTTTGAGATCTTTCACCATCCCGGTTATAGTCCTCTCCATGCTTTCCATCTTGTCAATTTTCTTCCAAATATATGATGCCCAGAACTGAGCAAAATACTCCAGATGTGGTCTGCCTGAGGTGAAGTCTAGTGGGACTGTGATATCTGTATTCCAGGAAGCTATGCTTCTCTTAATGAAGCCAAAGATGGTGTTAGCTTTTTTTGGCTGCCATCCTATACTGTGGTAAGCTACTCATTGAACCTGCAACCTACTAAAATGCCATGCATTTTTCAGATAACTATGTAACCATACTTCCTCCAATACTCTCCAGCCCCAAAAGCCACCCAGGGAGTATTCTGAATTAAAGACAATGTCCCTCCATTTCAGTTCTCCTCGGCTGATCATGGGCTCTTGAAAGCCAATCCAAGAGGAGCTCCAGCCCCACTAGGCCCAACCAAGGCACTGTCTATCATCTGAGGACCGACCTACATAAGGGTGAAGAGGATGATCACCAGAAGACAGGCCACCTGGTGATGCAAGTTTTTGGCAGAGCAATTCATGAATATGGTTGATTAAAGCATGGGGGAGTAGACATCTCTGTTGAAGGAACCATCTAAAATCAGACAGAATAAGGTCACACAGCAGCAATTCTAGGTTCTGATCATATGGTATTACTATGACTTCACACACACACACACACACACACACACAGAGTGGGTAGTCATCAGTTCATTTCAATTAAGCTTCATTAGAGCAGCTAGGGAGAGCAGTAGATAGAGTGCTGGGCTTGGAGTCAGGAAGATCTGAGTTCAAAACCAGCCTTAGGTACTTACTAGATGTGTGACCCTGGGCAAGTCACTTAACCTGTTTACCTCAGTTGTCTCATCTGTCAAATGAGCTGGAGAAGGAAATCGTAAACCATTCCAGTGCCTTTGCCAAGAAAACCCCAAATGGGGCCATGAAAAGTCAGCTATGACTCAACGATGACGACGACGACGACAACAATGCTTCATTGTGACTGGCTAGGGAGATACAAAGATTGGATAAGCCCTGGTCCCCTAATCTCAAACAGCTCACATTCTAGTAGAAGGATAAGACACAAAGAGATAACTGCCATCTTTCTTTGACACTTCAAGTGTCCAGGCCAAAGAAATGCCTTGACGGGTAGCCAATCTTCTGGCCAGAGAGCAGCTAATGCATTCTCTCCCCGTTCCGTCTTTCACCACTTCCCATCTGTCAGCAGTGGGTCATGGAGCCTGTCTTCAACGCTTGTCAGTTTGGCAGAACATGCTGGCATAGCCTTTGAGAGTCGAGGGTCACCTCCACGCTGAGGGGCAACATTGGAGAAAGGTCACAGAATACAAATAGCTATAGAACACAATTATAAATACTTTAAAATGTCAACAACAAAAAGTGTCTCATGTGAGATTTATGATCCCATGACCCAGGAGAGAAATGTTGTTACCTATTGGAGGGTTAAGTGAGATCACAGAATTTAAAGTTAGAGAGATCCCTAGAGATTGAATACGACCTCTTCATTTTTACAGATGAGGAAACTGAGGTCTAAAGAAGGGAAATGACATATCCAGCCACACAGCAAGC